ATAAGAAACAGATACCATCTCAGTGAATTGAAAAATTCAGCTAACTTGCTCCTAGAAGAGACTGTGAGAGTTTTTGCTTTGCCTTGCTTTTTTTTTTTTTAATGTTCGTAATACACTCATTCTTTATGTATTTACATGGTTAGTTTCCAAAGACCAAGTCCTTATGCAAAAAGTAGTGGTATAATGAAAATAAAGGATAATCACATCAGATCCCAGAATGGAAGGAGGATCATCATTGCATAACTTCCAAATTATACCAATACTTAACTTTCCTTTTTTCTATTTTTTTTAACTTATCTTTCAAACACAGAGAATCATTGCCAAGTCAAGTAGACACATAACCTCAACCATCACAAGTAGTGTTACTCTCACTTCACACTTTTGCATTCATTATTACCAGATGCATATAGCTATAGTCAGATTGATTTTTTTCACTGTAGCCATAAATGCAAAGCCTTATCACACAAGTTAATGCTGACAACTACATATTATTTCAAAATAGTCAATGAATGATGAGTGGATGTAACTAAAGTTTTAATAAATTTTGTTAAATTAAATCATAGTTAGCAAATATATGAAATGGAGGAAATCTAACAATATAAAATGACACCTATAATATGATAAACCAATTTACCATTAAGTCAACATTTTTCAAAAAGTATCTGCTATGGGTGCATAAGGCCCATTAAGTAAAACATCAGTGATCCCCCCCCACCCCCCACCCCTTCAATCAGACAGCAAAGAGAAAAGAGACTCTGAGGAAGATAAAGTAGTAGCAACTCAGTGAAGACTGACAGTGCTGGGAGAAACACAAGGCCATCGCGTTAAAAGATGAAGCCTTTTCAGTAGTCTCCTGATGCTAGTTTAAGTCATCTTCTCCTTTCTACCCAAGTATTGGGTCATGATACACGGGATTAGCTGTGCAGTTCCATCCTGACACAAAATGTGATTGTGTAACATGAAAAGAAATCTATGCTTCAGTACCTTTGGATATCCTAGTAAGATACAGATATCTGCATTCATTATCTTATTCAGTCTTTATAACAAACTGTCTACTGTGCCCTTCTTGTCAACTAACCTTTTCTTATTTAGGCATCGATGTTAACATCACCACTTTAGAGAGACTGTCCTTGGATCACCCAATAACAATCACATCACTTGTTTTATTTTATTTTTCACACTGCTTAGTGCTTACCATCATCCTGGCTTTCACTTTCCTCAGGATTGCTTTCACTGTCTGCCTCATAACCTTCTTCCTCAACCAAAAGTTTAAAACTGCAGCATGGAGAGTCCTCAGCTTCTTCTGATAAATCCCCAGGTTGAGCTGATAATTCTTCTTCAAAATGGTGGCTCTACAAGATCAACATATCCAAAGATGAAAGTTGGAGAACTTTTTCATTTACACTAATAAAATACTTATTGCTCTAGAATTATTTTAAGGATATCATCAATGTTTTTTTTAGGGTAAAAATCTTAGTAATCAGTATTATCCATTATTGATTATGAAGTACACTCAGAAAATCTTCCCAGAACCTCTCATACAACTTGATTAACATCTTTGAAAAGAAAGCTCCTAAAAGATCAAACAATAGAACATTTTAGTTTTACTATAAATCTAAGAAATTTCATTCTAGTCATGCAAGAGGAAATCACTAAACATGATGTTTAGTCAAACACTTAATGCTGACTACGACATATTATTTCTATATATTTATTTATAGAAAATATTTTCATAGAATTTTTGTTTCATAGATTAAATGAGACAAGACATTTAAAATTTTCAAAGATTTCACAATGCAGATATCTATATACAAGCATCTCAGAAATCAAGTTTCAGCACTAACTTCCTGTGTAATAATTTGTAGCATGAAAGATATGATAAAATAATAATTTATAAATTATCAAGGGTTCAGGGGGAGGGGGAGCGGCGAGGGAGGGGGAAAAGGGGGAGCTGACACCAAGGGCTCAGGTGGAAGGCAGGTGTTGTGAGAATGATGACATCAACATATGTACTAATATGCTGGACACAAATGACATGTACGGATTGTGATGAGCTGTATGAGCCCCTAATAAAATGATTTTTTTTAATGTTACCAATGTGAAGACGCTGGTCTTTATTTACAGTCAGTCAACTGATTCAGTAGTATGATTAATAACTATTTTGAGAAGTTTTATGTTATGACAAACAATAATATATTATGGAAAAGCATTTTAAAGCATCTTATGACTAGATTAAGAAACTGAAAAACAGTGAAAACTCAACTCACTGTCAGAATTGACTCTATGGGGCAGAGAATAACTGCTCCGTAAGACAAAACATTTTTAAATGTTATTTTCTATAAGAATACTACTGATTTTAATGTTGAAGAGTTTAATTTAAAGTAAAATACTGTGTAAATATTATTTGTACCAATGTTGGGCTAGATAACAGGGCTTAGTCCTTATCATCATTGAATTAATATTTAATAAACTATCCATTTATGCAAGACTTTTCCAATCATATAATACTGAGAGTAACTCTCAGTAACTTTCCAAGTTAGATAACAGATGCCATGACATACTGTTCTCCTATTGAACCAATTTTTTCCCCGAAACCATTTTATTGGGAGGTAATACAGATATCATATCACTCCATTTTTATTAGATAGGGAACTGACTAAATAGTATCTATCTCAGGTGATACAGAAAGGATCCACACACCCACCGAACGAAACCCTGGTCCCTATGTTCTAGTCACATCATCAGTGTCCTCATCTCACTCCACAGACTCTGCTTCTTTTGTCAAACCCACATAATACTATTGAGGTATACTTGCCCCAGTACTCGTCACTCTTACCTTCTCGATCATAGCATCATCATGTTCACAATCTGCTGAGTGATTCCCCAAGGCAACTCGAAGCAGGGCATCAAATAAAGGCTTTGCTAAATCTGTCTCAATCACCTTTGACTGGGAAAGCTGATCCCTCATTTCAAGCAATATATTTTCCACAGACAAATTCTAAGGTAAAATGAAAGAGACTAAAAATATTAATAATATGACTTTTAACAAATTACACAATGATAAAATAAATAAACTTATAAGCAGATAACTAGTCAATTTATTTGCAGTTGATATTAATGCAAAATGATTATATATCTGTCACATAAAAATTTTACTATTATATTTAATAAGATTTATCAAATATTTTATTTCTTATTTGGTTTTTAAATTTCAATATACTTTAATTAAACTGTATATAAAAATAATTTCATCATACACTTGTACACAAAGATCCCTTGAAAATTCAGATTTTTCATTAAGCATCTGTAGATTTTAAAAATTCTTTTTTCTTAGAGATTTCTAAAGATTCAGTGAATCCCTTTTAATCCTTCTCTTTCCATTTCTTGTTCATGTGTTCCCTTCTTGTGACTTGCCTAAATCCCTATGTATGTGATGAGACCATAGAAATGGATAAGAAACTGACTTCAGGAATTCTTGGTCCAATGTGAGAAACAGATAAATACAAATAAAACCCAGTATGTTTACAATACTAGCACTATATAAGTAGAGTTCTTTGAGAATGAAAAGGGGGAAGGTACCTGACAGACCTGTCAAAGTGTCCCAGAGGAGGGGTTGTTTGAGATAGACAGTGAAGAACAAGTGGGAAACAGCAGAAAGAGAAACAGAAGGAAAGAAGATATTTGGCCAAAGAGCTAGGCACAAAAGCACATGGCACAGACTAGCACCCTGAGAACCTGTCAACTTGTAGATATGACTGCAGCACAATATTGGTAGCAGGAAATGAAGCTCAGGAAGGAAAGGAATGTTATCAGAGCTTAAATTGTGAACATCCATATTAGAAGACAGTGGAAGCCCAAAATTCATCTGCAGGGTTCCCACATGAATTAAGCTTCCAGTAAATCCCCTCTGACCATAGTCCACGGATTTGAATAGCCTTGTGATCAGACACAGAGCATTATAAAGGTGGTTATGGTAGATGTAATTAGGTTAAAATGTTAACAGCTTATCATTTGATTACCTTTTTGACCCATTTTAAAGTTGTTTCAGTTTTAATATGTTCTGCTTTCGTTTTAATTGAGGTTTTCCTGCTTTATTTAGTCACTGTTGTTGGTTTTGTTTCTTTTTTTGCTTGATTCCTGTTTGTGTTTCGCATGATTTTCTATATATGAAACCCAAGATAAGTAGACCTCTAGAGACAGGAACTGGATAGCGGCATGGCAGGGAACGATAGGGGGACATGAGGAGCTAATAATGAGTACGAAACCAGCCTGTCCCGACTCGATCACTGAAGACAAAGTGGATGCATAAGCAAAAGTGGTGAAGAAAGCTGATGGTGCCCGGCTATCAAATGATATACCATCTAGGGTCTTAAAGGCTTGAAGATAAACAGGTGGCCATCTAGCTAAGAAACAACGAAGCCCACATGGAAGAAGCACACCCGCCTACCCCAACACGAATGCTGAAGACAAAGCGAGTGCACAGGAAAGTGCAGTGAAGAAAGTTGACAGTGCCCGCCTGTCAACATATATGAAATCTGGGGTCCGATAAGCTAGAAGATAAACAAGGAACTGTCTTACTGAGAAACAACAAAGCCCACATGGAAGAAGCACACCAATCTGTGAAAACACAAGGCATCGAAGGGATCAGGTATTAGGCATCAAAGACCCCCCAAAAATCATAGCATTGTGAATGAGGGGGAGTGCGGAGTGGGGACCCAGGGCCCATCTGTGGGAAATTGGACACCCCCTTGCAGAAGGGCTGTGGAAAGGAGATGAGCCAGTCAGGTTGCAGTGTAGCAATGATGAAATATGCAATTTCACTCTAGTTCTTGAATGCTTCCTCCCCCCCACTATCATGATCCCAATTCTACTTTACATATCCGGCTGGACTGGAGGATGTACACTGGCACAGATAGGAACTGGAAATACAGGGAATCCAGGACAGATGAACCCCCCAGGACCAGTGGAGAGAGTGGCGATATCGGGAGGGTGGAAGGAAGGTGGGGGAGAAAGGGGAAACAGATTACAAGGTCTACATATAACCTCCTCCCTGAAGGACGGACAGCAGAGAAGTGGGTGAGAGAGACGTTGGATGGTGTGAGATATAAGAAAATAATAATAATTTATAAATTATCAAGGGTTCAGGGGCTGGGGGGAACTGGAAATGAGGGGAAAAATGAGGAGCAGATGCCAAGGGTTCAAGTAGAAAGCAGGTGTTTTGAGAATGATGATGGCAACATATGTACGAATGTGCTGCACACAATTGATGTATGTATGGATTGTGATAAGAGTTGGATGAGCCCCCAATAAAATGATTA